ACAGTTTAATAAGGGAAAGTGAATAATCAGAGGGAGAAGTGAGAACATTTTAGTCACACTAAATGCTTAATCTGAAAGAAAAAAAGATAATAAAAACTTCAAACCAAAGCCAGGCCATGGCAGTAGAGTGGGTGAGGCTGAAGGGTCCTTCCCGGGGAACAGGAAAGGGGAAAGGAAAAAGGAAGACGTGGTATGTTCATTAAGCAGATGGAAAAGAAGAGGGAAGAGCTGGAGCTGAGGAGCCGTTCGGCCGGTGCCGGGGTGGGCAGTGAAGCAGCAGCGCTGAGCTCTCCCTGCCCCGGGGGCTCCCGGTGTGGGCTGGTCCGCCCGGGGCTGCTCCCGCCTCCCCCAGGAGCCGAATCTGGGGAGGGAAGGATGCACCTCAGGGACCGAAGTGGCACCGCCACCCCCCTCCCCACCCCCTCCCTGCCCTTGTGCCCGTTCCCACCCTGACAGGGCTCCCGGGGCTGCCCCGTGCCCCAAACCGGGCCCTGCGGCGGGCACGGGGCTCCGGGCACCCCCGGCACCCCCGGACCCCCCGGCCGGGAGCTGGACCCGCATCCCCGCGGCAGGGACACGGAGCAGGGCTGAGCTGGCACCCCCGGCTGCCGGCAGCCCCCTTTGCCGCCCCGGAGCAGCCGGACACCGGCAATTCCCAGCGGCTGCGGCTCCGGGAGCCGCGCCAGGAACGTCCCCGCCTTTATCTGCCGCGGAGCCGCGCTCATGAATCGGCGTCTGTTCCCAGACACCCCTCGGGGGCTGAAAGGAGCTTCTGTGCGGCCCTGGGGTCGCGGAGCTCGTGGCAGAAGGGTTCGCAGGGAGAAAAGCATCTCCTGGAACTCCGGCTGCGTTCCCAAGCGCTCCGAGCCCGCCCGGCCCACGCGCGGCGGGGAAGAACAACTCGGTGAAACGCCCGGGTGAGACAAAACCCGCCCCCACGCTCCGCTTCCCAACGTTACCGGGGAGCTTCCCACCCCCGGATGCAGCTCCCGAGGACACGTCTGGCCCCGCGGGAGGGGGAAGCCGGGATGCTGAGGTGACCCCCCCCTGCAGACGTGCCCGGCGGGCGGTGAGGGCACAGAACCCCCTCCCCACCTCCAGACGTGCCCTTCCTGTGCAGGGAGCGAAGGAAGTCGCGTTTTCCTCTCTCCCGGGCTGTCCCTGTCTCTGGGAGGGGTGCGCTGGCGCTCGGCTGCCCTCGGCTCACACTGAGGGCGGCTGAAGCGAGAGCCAGGCTGGGAAACTCCCCACGGGGATGGAGGGTTTCTGTAGCCCCGGTCTGATACTGCCCAAAGCCCTTGCCAGTCCAAATTTTAGAGGCATTTAGAAGCCTGGCGCTGACCCATGAGGTGCTCTAGAGGGAAGGAGCTGGTATGGAACCCCTCATAGGAAAGGAGAAACTGAGGCAGGAGTGCAGAGCCAGCCTTCTCACAGGGGAGACTCAAAACTGGGCTCGTTTCAGCAATAACCTCACCTGGAACCTGCTGGGTTTGGCTGCAGAAGGCACCAGATTTTCTAAAGTGTTGCCCACCCGACACCGGCACTGCCCGGGGTGCCAAACCTGCAGGCGGGCGGAAAACCCCCCTGGTCTGTGCTGAGACGGTGCCTTGCAGGACCGCGGCGTCCTGTCCCCGCTGTCCCCGCTGTCCCCGCAGCCGGGCCCGGCGCTGTCCGTGTCCCCCGGCTCGGCCCGGCTCGGCTCAGCTCGCTCGGAAGTCGGACAGTGCCACCTGGTGCTCCGAAGAGATCCGGAATCACAGAATCCTCCTGTGGTTTGGGTTGGGAGGGTCCGTAAAGCTCATCCTGTTCCACCCCCTGCCATGGTATGGACACCTTCCACCAGCCCAGGTTGCTCCAAGCCCCGTCCAACCTGGCCTTGGACACTTCCAGAGATGGAGCAGCCACAGCTTCTCTGGGCAACCTGTGCCAGGGCCTCCCCACCCTCACAGACAAGAATTCCTTCCCCGTGTCCCATCTAACCCAGTTTAAACCTGCCCTTTCAGTTTAGTTCTCTCCCCACGGCTCTGCCCAGGGGGTTCTGCTCCCCCCGGGCCGGAGGGGTGGAGGATCTCTGTACAGATCTCCCCTCCTGGGCCAGCACCACACCAGAGGGATCTGCAGGGTATCAGCAGCCACACGCAGGAGAGACTCCTCTTCCCTTTCCATCTCACTTTCCAGGGCAGGAGGCTGCAGTGGGGAAAAACGGGCAAAAGATGCTGTCAGTGCTGACAAAGTGTCTCTTACAACAGCTCGATTCTGATGTAACTGATCCCAGCAGCTGAGCTTGGAAAAACCTCTACCTCTCCCCCCATCCCTGCTGTGCCAATACATCACCCAGAGATCTCAGAGCACCTCGTGCAGCTGAGCAGACATCTCCTGACCTGGATGGGAAACTGAGGCCAGCAGTGCCAGCACTGCCCACTGCTGATCAGCAGCACCTCAAGACCATTCCCTGCTCAGCTGGGGTTTTTTTACCCTCAAAAAAAAATCATGTAGAAGTGCTATGACATCATGACTGGTTAAACCCAAGATTCTCTCACCCTTCCTGTTCTCCCCCTCTGCCATCACCTGGCACAGAGCACAGCCCTCCTCCCCCAGGAAGGGTGTTGTCACCTCAGCCCCTCGCTCGTGCTGGCACCAGAGAAGGGCTCACACAGCACAGCTCCCTTTTCCTGCCCCCTTTTCCAGCAGCAGCACAGATTTAGACACCAAGCATTGGTGAAACCACGTTCTAAAATGCCATGAGAATGCTGAATGCAGAGGCCCCATCTCCACAGCTGCTGTGCATCTCTTATTTCCACCAGCAAATATGTCTCTTTACTTCCACCAGCAAAGGGAGCTGCTGGAAGGAGGAGCTGGTGAGAGCCGGGAACATTTCACCTTGGCATCAGTGCTCACAAAGCCAGGGCAGCAGAGCCAGCTGGGAATTGCTGCCTCCACGTCCCAGAGCCTCTGCAGGAGCACGACAGGCTGGCTGCACACAGGATTCACACCACTGCTCCAGCCATCTTCCCACCATCATTTCTCGAGGTCCATACTGGCCATTCCCACAACAGAGATGGTCCTTTCAAATTAATTTCCCTTTATCCCCGATATCCACCCCCCAACCCTCTCCAGTGCTGTTTGGGGACGCAGCACAGGAAGTCCCCACAAACTCAGTCCCCACAAGCTCCTCGTGCTTTTGCTGTAGGCACAGATTTGTCCAACAATCCTGCACAGCTTGTTTTCCACATCTTTTACTGCTCAATGTGAGCAGCAGGAGCCCTGTTATAGCTGTTATTGGAGCATTTCTGGTTCCTAATAGGAAATTTCTGTGTTGATGCACCACAAAAAAAGTCACCAGTGGCAGAGTCAGTTCACACCAAGGGACCTGGGAATTGCTGTTGGCTTCCCAGCACCACTTTCCCAGCTGGTTTTCTGCAGCCAGACCACAGAGGTGTTGTGCAATGTATTCGAGGTGGAAGGGAAGTGGTTTGCCAAAAGGAAAGGTTTTAGAGGAGATTCACAGTTGCAGAAGTTCTCACCAGAGCTGTCACCTAATGAGGTAATTCTGGGGGGTGCTAAGTCTGAAATGGTGGTGGGGCTCAGGAACAGCCTGGATCGATGTGGGTGTGGTGGGGAGAAGCCCAGGGCTCGTTCTGCAGTGGAGGAACAGCTTAAACCTGGCCACACATCACACCAGGTGTGCACAGGAACAGCCACCACCAGCACAGATCAGTCACCCAGAGTCAGGGACAGCAGACCCAAACAGCCACATTTACTCCAAAACTCACCCCCAGCTTGATGCAGAGCTGAGGTTGGTGGTGGGAGCTGGACCCCCACCAGGTCCAGGAGCTTCTCAGTGGGTGCCCCTGGGAGGAAGACAGAGCCCTTGGTACCAGGCTGGTGGGGACAGTCCCCCTTAGCTGATCCCTCACCTCCCTCTGCCCTGTGATTGTTTTACCTCCCTGAAAGCCCTCTCTGGCCAGGGCACCTCTCTCCCAGCCCCTGTTCCCACAGCCACTGTGGGTGTCCTTTGCTTCGCCCTCCACATCCAGCTTTCCACTGTGCCAGTGCAGCCACCACCCTCAGCAGGGTCTGCCAAGGCCACATGCCCAGCAACCCCCACCTCCAGGGGAGCCAGGGCAGGACCCTCTGCAGCCAGGGGCCCGTTTTCCCTGGAAAAGCTCAGCCAAGTAAGCCAAGAGCTCAGAAATCTCTGGGGCAGGAACATCCCCGAGGGCACACACAGAGCCATCGGACAGGCAGGTGTGATAAGCAGCAGTCAGGCGTCTGTCCCGGCCCCAAACCTCTGCTTATCTGGCCCTTCGCAGCCCCAGCAGCGCCCCTGGCAGCGTCCCAAGGAGCGAGGAGAGGAAAAGCAGCCGGGGCAGACCCCGAACCCTCGGCACTGCAGCTATCTCGCTCCCCGCGGTGAATCACAGCCCCTCTTTCCGGCTGCTGGGATTTTTCAGTGCATTTCAAATTTCCTGAGGCACTCGGTGTGAACCCCCTCTGCCACCGGTGGCTTTTTTCCCGGTGGATCAACACAAGTTTCCTCCTAGAAACCAGAAATGCTCCGGCCGGGACTGTAACGGGGCTCCTTTGGGAACCTGGCAGAGGGCAAACCTTGAGGTGCAGCCTCGAGGAAAAGGTCAGAAAACCGCTGGAGAGCCCAGGGAGACGCCGAAGGCTCCCGGGGCAGCACAACGAGCGGAGCGCCGGGATGGGACGGGGTGTGCGGTGCCATCCCCGCAGCGCGGGGCAGCCCCCAAACCCCGCACCTCGCTGAGCCGCGAGCCGGGCGGTGCCTCAGGTTCTCCTGGAGCCCCCCGAGGTTCCCCTGGAGCCCCCCGAGGAGCCCCCCAGGCGCTCGGCGCTGCCCCGCGCCGGGGTTGGTGCCTCTAGAGGGAGCTGAGCCGGAGCCGCCCGCGTCTATGGTCCGGGGCTGGGTTTCTACTTGGTTTTTTTTTTTTTTTCCTCTTCTTCTTTTCCCTCCTCCTCCCCTGGCCCCGCTCGCTTCCTTTCCCCGCGCCGCGCTCCGGGCGGGAGGCAGGAAGGGAGGCGGCGGGATGGAGCGGCTCCCGGCCGGGATGCGGTAGCGCCCCGGGACACGGTGAGTCGCGGGGGGAACCCCCTCGCCCCCTCCCCAGGCTCCCCCGGGATGGGTTATCTCTGTTCTCCGGGACGGGCAGGGACGCACCGGCAGCCGCAGGGGCTCCGCGGGGGATTCCGGGGGGCGGGAGGGGCGGCAGAGCCGGGGCCGCGTCCCGGGACGGGGATAAAGTGCGCGGTGGTCCCTCGGCAGCCGCGGCTGTGCGGGCAGCGGCCGGGCCGGGGCTGGAGGTCCCGCCCAGGGCGGATCGCTGCCCCAGAGAGGGAATTTCTCCTTTTTTAACCGTATTTTCTCCAGTTGGGTTTTTTTTTCCCGCCTGGCGAGGCCGCGGCCGTGACAGCCACACCCGACATCCCCGTGCGCCGCATCCCCGAGGGGACAGCGGGGACAGCGCTGGGCAGAGCTGTGCCCCGACGAGGAGGGGGGACCGTGGCTGCCGTGGGGCTGCCTCTGCTGGGGTCGTCTGCCCTCCCTGGGGCCGCCAAACCGGGCAGACCGACCTGTTTGCTGTGCCAGGGCGGGCGGGGGCAGCGGGCCTGGCTCCGGGCTGGCCGGGCAGGGCTGGCAGCGGGCACAGGGTCCCTGTCCCGGGGAGGGGTCGCTGCCCTGAACACTCTGATGGAATCTCTCCCATGGCCCAGGGCCAGGCCCGCGGAAGGCTCGTCCCAGAGGATGCTCCGTGCATTTCCTGGAACGGGATCTTCACACCATGTCAGGGAGTGACTTCGGAGCCCCCTGGCTGGGCTTGGCCGCAGGGGCTGTGCTCCCTCTCTGGGCCAACCCTGCCACCTTCCCTGCACCCAGGCCAGGCAACTTTCCTTTGGAGGAAAGTTTCACTCTCGTCTCCTCTTCTTAAAGGCCCCTGATACATTTCCTGTGTGTCTTTGTAGCACACCCACCACTTCATCCAACTTTCCTCCAAAGGAAAGTGGGGATTTTTTCCTTCAAAGGAAAGTGGGGATTTTTTCCTCCAAAGGAAAGTTGGGATTTTTTTCTCCCAAGGAAAGTTGGGATTTTTTCCTCCAAAGGAAAGTGGGGATTTTTTCCTCCAAAGGAAAGTTGGATGAAGTGGTGGGTGTGCTATAAAGACACACAGGAAATGTGTCAGAGGCCTTTAAGAAGAGGAGACGAGGGTGAAATGAGAAACGGTTGGAGGCAAAGGTCTTTGTTTTATTGGGGAAGGCTGGTGGGTTCCGGGAAGGCTCATTCCTTTGTGGTCTTTAATAAAGATAAGAGCCCTGTGCCACCTTGGAGGTGTAGCTAAACCCACACCTCAGGTGCTGGCTGCTGCTCTTAACACTTTGCAGCCTCCTGCAAGACCAAAACACCTCGTAGAGTGGATCAGACCTTGCTTTCAGTGACCTGCAGCTTCCCCAAAACCCTGCCTTGAGGCCTGTCTTGAGTCCTGGAGAGTTTTCATTTTCTGCAGCCTTGGGCTGTCTCTAAGCCTGTGGGTGTCATTTCCTGCTTCACACCCTCCCCTGTTCTCATGACAAAGGGGGAATGGGGCACGTCGAGGGGGTTGGGAAGCAGGAGGAGCAGCAGCACTCTGGATCCTGGAGGGGATGGTCTGAGGCACTTTGCCCCCAGGAGAGACGGGCAGGGAGCTGTGCTGGGCGTTCACAGGTTGGCAGCAGTGGGTGTTTGGGGTGGGCAGTGGTTGGGGACTGACAGCATTGCTGGTCCCAGGCGTGTGTGAGCACGAGGCTGCAGAGGGTTGTGTCACGAGAGGAGAGGAGAGAAGAGAGCGCTGCAAGAACCCAGGAGGAAACCGAAAACGAAAGTTCTCACGGGGTTCAGAGGGTTGAAAATCATGAGTCATCTGCAGCTGGGTGCTGGGCCCCTCACGGGCAGCAGGGCTGCACCAAAAGCCTCTGTCACATGTGCTGAGGTGTGGGTGGGTGTCAGACACAGCCCACTGTCCCTGCAGACCCAGCTGTGAAAGCTCCAGAGGCAGCTGAGCTCTTCGGGTGCACACACACCCTCCCCAGCATCCCGTCCTGCCTGGGCCACTGTGGGATAACAGTGGGAATTCCCACTGTTCCAGAGAGCTGCTGCCAGGCTGCTCCCCCTGAGCAGCACCGGGGCAGGGGGCTCACCCACAGCCTTGCTGGGCCCACCCAGGGACTGGGGTGGCAGTGGAGGAAGCACCCGAGGCTTCCTCAGTGGAGGAGGGGAGGGGCACCTGCATCCCCTCCAGGCACTCCCCGAGCTCTCTGCATCATCCCAGAGCAGGGAATCCTGTGATTCTACCATTCTAAGAGCAAGGAGAGAGGTCTTGGTCTCAGCTGATGATCCTCATAATTTTTTCGTCATTTTTTCGTCCATCCTTGGATGGGGATGTTTGAGCTTGGGGAGGAAAAGGGAAATCCAGTCCTCCTGTCCTTAGAAGCACGTAGGAAAAAACCCCATCTCCATCAAGTGTCACCACGGCTCGGGCTGCCAACAGCTCTGTGATTCCAGCCCCCATCCCACTGGAGTGCAGGCTGTACTTCCCATCACTGCTGGCAGCCCCCATCTATTTTTCCTTCTGAGCAATCTTCAGTGTGAGGTTGTGAGCTTGACCCACCTGTTGCACTTCTACCATTGATATAGGTGGTTATTTATCCCTAGCCAGCACTTTCTTTATTTAAATTTCTGGGTGTCAATGTCATGAATTTTATCTTATTCATGAGTTCAGACCTGCTGCAAATCAGGAAACCCATTAGTTCAGCCCTGCAGAAGTCTGGCCTGGGAACACGCACTGGCACGTCAGACTGCAGGCAAGGAGCTGCTGGGATCCCTGTTAATCCTGACTGGAACTGTGTGGCCTCTCTCCCTTCTCTGCAAACCCTGGGGCTGAGGGTGAAGGGGCTGCCCCAAGCCCTGAACTGCAGGTCTGGGTTTAGGACACCCGTGACCTTCAGGGGCAGGATGAGCCCTGCGTGTGGTTCTCATTTAATTTCCTCTCAGCCCCGGGTGAAGCCCTGCAGGTGCACTGTGCTCTGGGCTCAGGAAGTGTGGTGCTGCATCATTTCGGGGCAGAAAGAGCTGCTGCAGCCCACGCCGTGTGCAGAGAGGGAAGGAACCTGTTTCCGGCACAACCGGGAGGAAGCGAGGCAGGGAGTTGTCCTTTTTTGGCAAATGACATCAGTGATAAAGAGTCTCAAAGAGGAGAAATCCAGTGCAGTCAAAGGACTGAGCAGAATTGTTTCGTGGGTAGAGTGAGGGATGAGTGTGCCAGGCAGGGAGGAGCCAGGGCTCTGCCAGAGATAACGGCGGCGTTCCCGTTCCCGGCAGCGTTCCCGCTCCTCCGAGCGCTTCCTCGGGCCGGGAGGGGCTCCAGGGGTCCGGCTCAGGCCACTCACCGACCCCCACCCTCGTGTTCCAGGTGACGCTGACATTCCCCAGCATCCCCCTGCCATGGCCTCAGGGAATGAGGGTGACCCACCGCGGGCCCGCGGGCGCCGGGGCAGCGACAGGCAGAGGCTGTGCCAGGAGCTCAACCCAGGTAAGGACCTGCTGGGACGGTCAGGGGACTAAACGGTTCAAACCCTCTATTTGTTTTCTTCATTCCCTGCTGTGTTGCTTTGCTGAGACGGGATTTCCTTCCTCCAGGGCCCTTTGCAAGGCTGGGATAACAAATCTGTGATACTTTGCTGAACTGAGCTGGGAGAGCACGTGCTCGGTGCTTTGGGGAGATGCCAGCACAGGGCTGGGAACAAACTGGTCCAGTGGAAGGTGTCCCAGCCCATGGCAGGGGGTTGGAACTGGGCGAGCTTTCAGGTCCCTTCCCACCCAAACCAGCCAAGGATTCCATGCTTGGCATTGGATTAGTGTGGTGGAAGCAAGGTGGGATGGAAGGGCACGGAGAGAACAGTGTGCAGGAACTGCTGGACAGGACACGCTGGTGCCTGGGGTGTTGTTTACTTTCCCTTCCCTGAGTCTGAGAGAGCAGGAGGTGCTTGGTGTTTAAATCCCAGAGGAAAGCACACCTTGGTCTCGGGCACTGGCTCTCAGGGTCTGTCCCTGCAGGTGACACCTCTCCTGGGCCTGGCAGAGCTGTGGGATGAGCTGCAGCCCACCAGGAGTGGGTCAGTCTGTCTGTGTGTGAGCCCAGCCCAGCAGGCTGTGCCACTGCATTTCACACTGCTGTTTGTGCTCTGCTATTGCCTGGTCTCCTGCCCACCCCAGAGTCCCATTTGTGCCAGATCCTGTGATTACACTGAAAGGAAAAATACCCCATCCTTCCCCCTGCCAAAGCCCAGGAGGTATGAAAATACCCAAACAGGAGCATTGTTTGCATGTGCTGGTTTCCTGTTGAGGCCAATGAGATGCTGAAGTGAAAACCAGTGAGAGGGTCAGGCCTGAGCTCTGACCACACTGGGTCACAGTCACAGTTCTTGTTTGTTTGCAGGCACTTAAGGGCCATCCTGGCATCCCTCTGCCTCCCAAAACTCAGGAGGTTCCTCTGGAATTTGGAGGATTCCAGAGGAATCCTGCCTGCCTCTTAGGCAGAAGCCTTGTGGGCTCCAGTGGCAGCAGGAATGTGCAGCTTTCACCAGCACGTGCTGTGGGATTGCAGGGTGGAAGGAGGCTTTTGTCAGAGGGGTTGAGCCTGGATTTCATTTGGGGTTCTGTTTGCTTATCTTTGGATGCAGAAGAGATTTATCTGCTGCTCAGGGATTTGCTTGGGCATCACTGTGAGCCCTTGTCTGTTCTCCTGTCCTTGTGTTACTAAAAATAGCACCTGGGGTAATTAAACCAGGGATTTTTTGGTGCACCAATTTCCTCTTCTGTCTGGCCGTGTGTTTGCCCTCCTCTCCCTGAAACTCTGAGTCAGTGGCTTTCGTTTTCTCAGGGGAACCTTCCCGGGCTCCTCTGCTTCCCAGAAGGTGACATTTGTTTGCCACCAAACAAACCCGTTTCTGCAAAACAAAAAACAACCCCCTGAAAACACAGTGATGGGGTTTGTCACTTCCCTTCCCTCTGTTTACCCAACCTGGAGTCGGTGTAACCTGAGCACAACAGGTTCCTGTCCCCACACCCCTCTGGGGCACCCAGATGGGAACCAGCCAGAAAAACCCTCCAGGGAGGGGAGTGGTGTGTTGGGGGCATCAGGGTATGGGGTCTGTGGGGCAGCATGGCCAGGACAGCTGTGTCCCACAGGCCAGGTCCTCACTTCCCAGCCCCGGGACACTGCTCAGGCAGGAACATCTCAGGTTGGAAATGCAGATTCCAGTTGCTGCAGAGTTGCTTGGCCAGTCTGGGTACCCCGGGATGGTGGGATGGGGTTTTAGCTGGGGTGGCTGCAGTGAGCTGCACTGCTGGACCTGCTGTCACCAGGACAATCCCCCAAACCCACAGTCCTGCAGGATCCTCCACTCCTGACCTTCCCCCAGGCAGCTCCTTGACCCGGCTGTGCACCCCAGTTGTGTCTGTGAATCTCCACCCTCAGGGTGATGCTCTGCCAAAGGAGCCGAGCTCTGATCCAGCCCCAGCACTCCCGTCCCCTACAAGCTTTTGTGCTGGAAAAGCCACTGGGAAGAGCAGTGTTAGTGCTCCCCCAGGGCCAGCTCCTGAGCCTGTGGGGTGGCTCTGCAGGGCTGACCTTTGTTTGGGAGCTGCTGCCCCAGCCCACAGGGATTCTGGAGCCACCGAAACTGAGCTCTGATCCGAGACATCCCGTGACAGAGCAGGGAATTTCCCCAGAGCCACGGAACGTGTGTGATAAGGTATCAGTCACCACGGGGCTGAAACGCCTGGCCAGGGGCTCCCTGCTGCAGAGGGGCAGGTCCCGGGCACATCCCTGGGCAGGGTGGGCACAGGGACACGTGTGGGGCTGGAGAGGGTTGTTTGGGCACAGGGACACGTGTGGGGCTGGAGCCATCACAGACACGTGCACATGGGGGGACACAAGTTGTCCCTGCACAGCCCTCGGTGACGCTGAGCCCCAGGATTGTTTGCTGAGGGCTGATGGGCAGCACCAGGCTGAGCTGGGATCCGAGATTCCTGAATTGTTTGTGCTGAGCAATGTCCTTATCGAGAGGTGGGAGAGCTGCCAAGTGCTCCAACATCTGGTTTGTGTTGTGACAGTCCCGGGGCTGCCTCTTGCCCAAACTGGATTCCGAAGGTGGGCTGTGCCCCCAGGAGCACGACTGGCTTCAAAATTATTTTTCTCAGGCCTAATTTATGTTGGGTCATTTTTGGGTTTGCTGCAAAAGGCTGGTGTTAATACAAATGGCACAAATTGAGGTTGGAAATGAGGGAATGGTCTCTTTCCAACTTGGGAAAGGGGGACGATGAGCTTCTCCCTTGACTTTTGTCCCTCTGGTGTCCCCAGAAGCCCGCGTGGCAGCGGAGGCAGAGGAGGTGTTCCGGGGCTATGCCCTGTACCGCTACCAGCAGGAGAGGGAGGAGAGAGGGGCGGAGGTGCCCCCGGACCCGGAGATCGAGCAAATCCAGCAGGACCTGGAGAGGTAAATCCCCGGTACCAGCCCCGTGCACGTCCCTCGGCCCATCCCGAGCCAGGCCCCGCTGCAGAGCCCCCCCTCAGTCCTGTTCACCCACACTGACCCCCTGTTCCCTGGTGTTCCCTGGGCAGCACCGGCAGCGAGGTGGGGCAGCGCTTGGCCATCATCGGGGACGACATTTACAGGCGCTACGACCCCGAGTTCCGCTCCATGCTGGACACCCTGCAGCCCACGGCGGCCAACGCCTACGAGCACTTCACCAAGATCGCCTCCAGGTGAGGCCCTGGGCAGGTGGAGCCTTCTCCTGGAGCTCAGCAGGGAAGGGGGGGTCAGACGGGTGTGGTGCTGTTGGTCAAACCCTCTCCCCCTCTCCGGCTCTGTCCCAGCACACACAGTGTGTCCTAGCACAAAGGGATGATCCCAGCACACAGGGATGATCCCAGCACACAGGGATGGTCCCAGCACACAAAGTGTGTCCCAGCACACAGGGATGATCCCAGCACACAGGGATGGTCCCAGCACACAGGGATGGTCCCAGCACACAGGCTCTGTCCCAGCACACAGAGTGTGTCCCAGCACACAGAGTGTGTGCCAGCACACAGGGATGATCCCAGCACACAGGGATGGTCCCAGCACACAGGGATGGTCCCAGCACACAGACTCTGTCCCAGCACACAGGCTCTGTCCGTTCAAGTTTCACTCTCTGTCCCTGGGCCGAGCTTCCAGTGAGCTCCCCCTGACTGTTTCTGTGTTTCCTGCCTGTCTGCTCCTCCTCCTGTGCCTTGCTAGGACAGTCTTCCCCTGAGAGGCACCTCAGTCCTTGCAGGAGCTGACTGGGGTCAGGCAGTCTGGGGGATGTGCCTGTGCATCTGCAGCCAAGTGAATGTCCTGGTGCCCCTTGGGGGCACAACCAGCCCTGGGCCAGGGCAGAGCTGCTGCTGGTCCTGCTGCTGGTCCTGCAGCTGCCTGCTCCAGGCTGGGACATCCCGAGGAGTCTGGCTGCCAGGGGCAAAGGATGTGGGGAGGCAACAGTTCTCACTGCCTTTGGTGTGGTCACAGAAGTCAGGGAATCACAGAATGGTTTGGGTTGGGAGGGACCTTGAAGCTCATCTCATTCCAACCCCCCTCCATGGGCAGGGATGCCACCCACTAGGTCAGGCTGCTCAGGGCCACATCCAGCCTGGTCCGCACGGAGCAGGGATCCCTCAGGATGGGGGATTCTCCCCAGGCTGGCAGAGCTTGTGCAGGTGCTGCACACCCAGCTCCCCCTCCCAAAGCACAGCCACAGGTGGGTGAGGGACAGACCTGCCCTGCCTGAGGTACAGCTCTGACTGAGGTGGCAGCCAGGGCTGCAATGCTCACCCCGTGTGGGGTGGCAGGGACACCAGGACACTGCACATTCCACAGGGACACCAGGACACTG